ATACTATGTATGACATACCTCTGCACTCTGCAATCCTGAGCCTCAGACTGTGCCTACCCTCAGGCAACGCTGTCTCTTACTACATCTCTATTACTGCCCGCAGGGCACTGCTAATTTTCAGCCATGCTAAATCCCCTACCACTGAATAGTAGTGTATGCAGGCAATAAAACAGTGAGAGGCTAGGTAAGGGGTGATACTTAGCATTGTACACATGCCTCCATCTGCACAGAAATTGCAATAAGGTCCTGATAGCTAGAGGATTGTATTGGAAGAGGCGTGCATGTCAGGTAAGTCCTAACCTAAGTGTATATGTGGATTGTGGGCTGTAGGTGTCCATCAGGCCTGACACGTAGTAGTTTGGGGTATGTGGCAGATCTAGCACAGCACAGCCTGGTGCCTTGCAGTCATTGTGGGGAAGAAGGAGGGTGTTGGTTCTGCATGGGTTGCATCCAGCAATGGGTGTGGAGCAGGGCTGGGGATTGTGCAGCTCTAGGATTTCCGGGCTCCAGAAGGCAACATGGAGACTCACCAGCTCCAGAAAGTATTTCCTTTCTTCAACCTCCTCCTTCTCCTGGGCTTAGGGAAAAGTTAACAGTCAGAGATGTACGTGACCCCCAACTTTGGAAAGTTATCACTGTGCTTCTGTCCCACATCCTTATGCAGTAATCTTGGGGGTTGCATGGGGTTAAAGAGAGGTGCACAGAGCACATCGGCCTGTCTGCCTGGACACTGCTGACACTGCTAAGCAGTAAATCATCATCTTGGCTTAGAACGGAATTTGTCCTCTCCTGGGGTGCGTCAGAGGCCATGCTCTCTCTAGATGTCCTGAGGAGTTGTCTCCTCAAGCCGTTCTCCAGTCTCTCTAACAGTTCATCTTCTCTGGGTGTTTCTGATCTTCCTCCTTATGAGCAGAAACTTACATAGATCTCTTCTGTAACTGTTACATGAACATTGTAGAGTTTGGATCTGGGGCAGGTGTAACATTTGAGATCGAGTTCAGTTTTCTAATGGGTTTGCTATTGACTGCTTTTGCACTGTTATCCTCCAGCCCTTGGAGAGCAGTCCATTTTCACTGCCTTGCTTTCCCTGGATGCCACTGAGAAAATTAGCTGACAAAATGTGGGTGGGTCTGTCACTTTAACAACAGTGACGGGTGCTGAGAAACAGGGGTGTCTGAGAGATTATATTCCTTTGTCTTCTTCTCAGACATCCTAAACTCTTCTGAATATCAATTAGAATAAATTCTCTTGGAATTCTACATCAATATTTCAGTATTTTCAGTATTTGTTAATTGTTTCTCCAAGACAAATGAAATACAAGTGGAGGACCTCAAGTACACCATGTGATTGATGGCCTGGAAAAGAGGCCCTGGACACTGCCCTTCACAGGCAATGCTGTCCCCATACTTTGCAAAGAGGCTCATTAGTTCCCACCTGCTCTACTGGGGCACTTTATCTGCTCAAGCAGGTTTCCTGGGGCATCTGTCAGAATAGAGAGGCATAGGTCACCTCTGTGCTTGTCAAAATAGGCACAGCATCGAAGTGGAACAAGGATTCCACAGTAAAACATCTACAATTTGATTCACCTGTCACCCTTAGAACTTGCTGATAACTGGGGAGGGAGTCTGTGACTGGATGCTGCAACAGAATTCATTTCATTGCCCTACCCAGGATATCCTCATGAACCTGTGGGGAGCTTCTGAACTGAAAGCTCAGGAAAGGGCCTGCTAGTTTTCCAGCGAAAAGAGAGAGCTCTCCTCCATCACTGTCTCCCGTGCTGAGTGTGCATGTCCTCAGGTCAGGAATTCCCCGGGTGTCTGTTTCAGGATGTGACCAGGCACCTACAAGAGAAGGAATATTGGAGGCCAATGTAAGAGCTGGCTACGATTCCACATACCCAAAGCTCAAGAAATCTGCCCTAGGAGGATAATGGCAGGTTTACTTTTAATGCAGTTCAGGGACTAATGAGACATGTACAATAATGCCCATTGTCTTCCAATGTGCCCTTCCCTAGGCCAACATCTTTATGGTCTCTTAGGGACGTCTGCCTGCAGTGAATGATGTCCCTAGCTGCACTGCTACTTTGCAGAAAGGAGGGTTTGAGAACAAAGAATTAATTGCAGCTTCCAAACATCATGCCTAAACACGGGCATTCTGCTAGCTGCACCCCATCTCATTTACACTTGCCTACATCAGACAGGACACATCCTTGGTAAAAATAAGCATCCACAATAGAACAAGTCCTAAAGAGCCTGCAGATATTATGAGAGAAAGGACGGAAACTAGAGATCTGGAAGTGACCTATGAAACCACAAGGGACCCAACATTACCAATATGGTCATCATAGCTCAGTCAATAGGTCACTGGGTGAACATTAAGCAGTTTCCAAATCAAACATACTTTGTCCAAAAGAACATCTCAAAAAATCAGCTTTGTCCTCTGCACGATGGATACTTAAGGACAGCTTTGGGGATGATGTGTGTTCAGTTCCTGCTACAAATAGCTGGTACTGAGTGCACCTGTTCCTGCTCCATCCAGCAGACCAGCAGCGAAGGATGGAAGAGTTGGGTGTGGAGTCCTAGTTTTTAGCTGACTTCTATTCTCCCAGGTAAGAAACAACATGGCTCCTTGAGTAGAGTAGAAGAGACACACAAAGTCACCATCAGACCCAAGGCAATTTTCAGTATAAACAGAAATATACCTCACATCTCCTTATACTGAGACCATCTCCTGGGTCTGGAGCCAGTGATTCTCTTGGGCTGTGTCTCCTGGGGATCACTGACCTGAACATAGAGCCCAAGTCTCCCTTCCCAGGCCTTAGCTTCAATAAAGTGCATTACGACTGAAACAACCCCCTGATGTATAGCGATTATGACCACATAAGAGCCTGAATGTCTCATGACTGCTTTTCCTTGCAAGGCTGTCTGCATCCTCGTGCTCAATCGTCTTCAGCCAATTATAGACTAAGTAGCTAGCCTGTGGCAGAGTGACTGTCCTTTCCCATACAGATGTAAGAAGATATTCACCCTCTTCTCCTCAAACATTTCCTCCATAATAGTTGGGGGGCGAGAGGGCCAGAGGGCAGAGATGCATTGCTTGCCATAACTTATCCCAATAATCCCTCTGAATCCATTTGTCTGTTGTCTCTCACTACGCCTTTGCTCCTCGGCATCATGAGCCCAATAACCACCTTCCTGGGAATGGGAAAGGGCGGCTTTGGCAGCCATATGCTTATTTGTCCATAGATCAGTGTCAAGGATAAACAGAGAACATAAACCTTTCTCATACAACAGGATTAAATTTAGTCATTTCAGTGATACCTTCAGCATTTGAGACACCCACTGGAGTCCTGGCACTCACTCCTTTCTGAGTGTCCACTCTATATTGCAGAGAGCAGAAGCCTACTTGGAGAGTGTCCATGACAACCCCATAGCCAACTTTGACAGGAGACCTCCCAAACAAACAACCGGGCTGGAACCCCAGCTCTAGGGTCAAGGCTCTCTCTAAGCCTGACCATTGATGTGGGGTATGAATAATATGTAGTTCCCAGACTGCTGACTGACTCGTGTATGCACTGTGTCCAGGACAGGCAAGCATTACCCACCTTCCAAAGTGAGGCAACCTCCCAGCATCCCATCCACACTTTGACCCATTTCTGTTTACCTTGCAGTCACTGTCCTGTCAAGACACAAATACGGTGCTGATAAACATCACAGAGTAACTGGTCCTTTCTCCAACATCTAGACTGAACCAGCATGCAGCGGGACAGTGTCTCCTGTGTTGAGAGCGACAAAGGGATATAGGCAGGATGCAAACACAACAGCAGGCCTGGGAGGAAGACGGTGGAGGGGATTCACCTCTCCCCCAAAGTGACAAAACTTTTCTTTGGACCTGACCTTGATAGGAGAGACAGATAAATGAGCTTTGCTCTTGTAGGTCCATGAAGACTGGTCCATGGGTTCTTCTAATTCACAAGCAGCTTTTGTGGGGTTTGCACAAGGCTCCACTCTTAGAACGATGCTAGGGAAGGCCATAAGTGGGACATATATCATGTTTACTATGTGTTCCTCTGGAGAAGCCTACGGTAGAGGTTTTAACTCTTTTTGTGCTGGACTTCTCTGTAGTAAAGCACACTGCCATCTGGACTCCCTGCAGGGCTCCAACATCTGCCTTCTCTGTCACACCACAAAAATACGCACCTCAGGTCTCAGCCTGCGGAGAGACTTATCCATTACAAAGATCATTATGTCATACTCAATACCCTTGGACAAGAGACCTCTGCTGAGGTAAAGCTGGCCTGCTGCCTCCACACAGAGATGCGAGTTGCTGTGAAGATCCTGGTAAATGGTAGGACACACGACTACAGCAAAATAACAGAACTCAACATCATCAAAGTGCTGGACCAGTCAAACGTCACCTAGCTGTGCCACATCATCAATACTAGAGCTAGAGACCATTAATACATAATGGAGTAGGCAACAAAGGGGGATCTGGCAGGCCACATTGAGAAAGTGGGCTGTCTGCAGGAGGAGCAGGCTCAGCACATCTTCACTCAGATGGTGTGTGCAGTTCACTATAGTCATGAGAACAGCATTATACATAGGGTCATAGAGAATCAGAGAGGCTTATCACGTAAATAGGATCCCTAAATCATACTCAGGACTCCTGGAAAAGAGACCTTTTCTGAGGTAAAGCTGGCTTGTCACTTCCACACAAAGGTGCAAGTTGCTGTTATCCTTGAAAATGGTAGAAAGAATGACTATAGCAACATAACAGAAATTGACATCTTCAAGTGCTGGACCAGGTAAAACATCATCTAGCTGTTCCACATCATCGATACCAAAGAGCACATCTATATAATAATGGAGCATGCTGTTCCTGGAGATCTGGTGAGCCACACTGAGAAAGTAGGCTGTCTGCAGGAGGAGCAGGTCCAGCAATCTTCACTCAGATGGTGTGCACAGTTCACTACAGTCATGAGAACAGCATTGCACACAGGGTCATGAAGGATCTGTGAGGGTCTCCTCTTTAGAGGTACTGCTTTTTGGGTCCATCTGAATTATCACGTCCTCTCTTCTCTTGCTCAGAAGTTTCTTCATAATTTCCACACCAACTGGACAAAACCAGATGAGAAAAATGAGAATTGGGTCAAGGGATAACGTGTATGACTTTCAATTTTTACGTGGAAAAAGGACAGACTCGTGAAGCAACAAAAATCTTCTGGGTCACAGAAAAATAAGAATAAACTAAAATCCAAAAAAGTACCTGGGAAACATTCTGAAGATGAGAACAGAATGTAAGGAAATGGATAACAATGAACACTACACAGACATAAAACCTAAATTATTGAAAAGGAAGGGCAGAGCCCAAAGTGATCAAGAAGAAGAAGACAGAGTGTAAGTCTACAGCCAGATAATGGTGCTGTTACAGAAAAAAATGGCTAGAATCACTGGAATCATGTAGAAGTAATTTTGGCACAGAACAACTTGCTTTATTTTGACATGGAGATAGCATATCTATTCTGTAAGCAATTGTGAAGATAAATGTGTTAGTCAATCTATAGCAAACCATTTCATTAGCAGTCTTGGGAATAATTTTTGTCACCTTGTTCACTACTCAGTTCTCAATAACTGAAACAAAAGAAATCCATATAACCATGAACACTTGGGATACTTTCTTAATGTAATTATAGATTGCAAATTAGTAACAGAATCAACATGCCTGAAGACATAACTAAATCAGAGGGACCAGAAGGATCACGATGCACAATTTAGCAGATGCTCTCTATGCTGAGGGAAAGGAATGCAAATTATTAATTTATTTATGACATACCAAGAAAACCTTTCCATTCCCAGATTCTAAAGGAATCGTCACAAAGCTTATGCTATCAGAATACCTATTTTTCCTGTTCCCAAACTGTATATTTTACTAGTGAAAAGTAGTAAATATGATGATATCTCACTTGTTAACACCATAGTGAAAATCATTCCTTAAATAATGTAGAATACCATGCTGCAATAGATAGTAGTCATTGCATTCATGCTAACTTAATTCACGAAACATTTCTCAGAAATCCATATTAATCATATAAGTCATAAGTACACTTATAACTTATTTTGAATTTTCAAAATTTTTGTTCTAATCTTTTAATATTTGTGACAATTTCTACATGATTATTCAATTTACATTCTTTTCTTCTACTGCTCTTTTTTTTAAATCTGACAATGTTTCTCCTCAGAGCAGATTTAACAGGCATGATGTTTCCTGATAACATGACATCATGAAGCCACTGTCCCAATGTCCCCCACTCCCACTGTTAGGAATCACACAATAACATCAAGATACTCGGCCATAACACATACACAGAGGACCTAGGAAGGACCCCATTCCACAAAGGCTGCCTGATCTCTGTGAGCCCATACTCCTAATCAATTGATTCTTTGGGCTGTGCTCCTGTGGTGTCCCTGACCACTCTTGTTCCCATGTTCCTTTATCTGGAACTATTTTAAATCCTACAATCGTATGAATTATAATACTGGAGCAAAGGGACAAATGTCTACATGTGTCACCTACCAAAACTGAAAAGAGGGCAAATAAAAACATAAGCAGATCAATAGTGAGAAACATAGTTCAATATTCATTGAGAAAAATCTCAAGAAAAAAGCTTTGGTCCAGTGACATGATTGGATTCTATCTTTCTGAATAGCTGAAACAGGAACCCATGAAAACCCACTGGCTTATTCTGCAACCTTGCTGTTATGCCCTATTGATGAAGACCACTCGCATGTATGTCAGCCAACACGGAGAAGTTGAGCTGGTGCATAACTAGAAGCTTCACCACTGACTGATGTTCATGATACAGGAATGTATTCTGCCAGCAACTGGAGGAGAGAGATAATCATCAATGTCACCCAGCTACCAACCCTAGGACGACAGTGACCCTTCTGCAAAGTGGACTCATAAAATATGGGCCCAAATACTATTGCAGCAAGCAACCAATTTTGATTGGATTGAAGGCCACTCCAGGAGATGGAGGCCATACCTGACACTGCTAAAGGGACCAAGAAACTGAGTAGGTCATTCGGGGGCCTAGGGGAAAACCTGATATTATTATTCTGCTAAAGGACACAGTGATATAATGTCTCTTGATGATATATGGCTATATCTAGATGTATATGTATGTATGTATGTATATGTATATCTCAAACAGCCCGTGCCAGTGGAGCCCATTCTTGAAAGTGACGGAACTAACATTGAGACTCACAACAATGTAGAGTGTGTGAGACTTTGGGATCGCAGTCCTAAATGGGATGGATTCAGGAAAACCTTCCTCAAGGTTGAGGGAGCGATTCAGAGGAGTAAATAGGAAGATACTAAGAGCCAGAGGGAGTAGATGATACCAAGGAAACAAAGATACACTGTATTCCACATATAACAGGACTGACAAACACATGAATTCAGAGACTGTAGCAATACAGAAAAGTATACAAAGGTTCAAACAGATGGAGGTTCTAGCACTGAGAAGTGGAAGTGGACACAGGGTACTAAACTAACCAAGAAGACATGTGCAATTGTTTCCTGATGGTAAAGGAAGAATTAGTTTTCTCCAATGGTTTTTTACTGGGTATCTTAGCATGCCCTAAATTAATGCCAAACTTGCTGGGCGGTGGTTGCGCACGCCTTTAATCCCAGCACTTGGGAGGCAGAGGCAGGCGGATCTCTGTGAGTTCGAGACCAGCCTGGTCTACAAGAGCTAATTCCAGGACAGGCTCCAAAACCACAGAGAAACCCTGTCTTGAAAAAGCAAAAAATAAAAAAAATAAAAAATTAATTAATTAATTAATGCCAAACTCAAAAGGGAACAATAAACTTTGGTACACAATTGGGCTCATTGTCCTTTCTTTGGGCATCTTATAGGTCTTGAATGCTTATTCTGGTTTTTTGGTCTCTGTTTTATTTATTTTTTAACAGAAAAAAAACATAAACCATATTTCTGTATGGGTTGGGAGCTGAGGAGGGTCTGGAAGTAATAGAGCAGGGGCAGAAATAATCAAAATACACTGTATAAAAGATTTCCAGTGATGAAATATCAATAAAATGAAAGACTGATATGAATGTATTCATATATAAATTCTACCCAACTTTTGAGAAAAATAACACTAATATTCCTCCAAGTATTCAGTAAGGGGAAGGAGACACTTTAGAGCATGTTCTATACAGTCTGCAGGAGCCACTGCCAGACCTGATGACTTCAGCTTCTTCCCTTATCCCCCAGTAGGAAAAACAGCACCTAGAGCCACAAGTTTCCCTCTAAATTCCATGTGTCTGGGTTGTGACACAAACTGATAAACACACACAGCAAAATAAATAATACAAAATAATCCTAAGTGTAAAAATATACAGGAGTTGTAAGCGAAGAGTTCATGTATCTAGATGTGACAATCCTTAATAAAAGAAATTGAACCTAACAAGTCCAACAACACAAAAACATGGCCAAGTTCATGGTAAAAATGAGTTCATCACTAACAACAGAAGGACAATTCTAAAATAAATTTTGACAAATAAAACAATGGAGAGAATATAGGACAAAAAGACCGTAGTTCCTAGAATGAAATTTAGTCTTTTTCCAGAAAACAGTTGCAAATGAAGATGATTTTGTTATGTGTGACTCGTTAGTCTCCAAAGGCAATTTTGAGGGAACATAAGACAGGCCAGGGAGGACATAAAATAGGACAGTGGTATCCCTGGGACACGTTCACAGTGTTCTGGGAAGGAGCCTGGGTGTCTCAGCCACCACAGACTCTTTAGACAAAACAGTGATGCAGAGTCCTAGGTGGTTCAGAATCCTGGCCTGGGCTCCTGACTAACCACAATTAGAAAGAAGAGCTGTTGTCCTAATCCACACTCCAAAGTGGTTTTGACAAAAAAAAAAAAAGGAGGAAGAGGAGGAAGAGGAGAAGGAGGAGGAGGAGGAGAAAAGAAGAAAGAAAGAAAGAAAGAAAGAAAGAAAGAAAAAGAAAGAGAAAAAACAACAACAAGAAGAAAAGAACAGTGTGGGTCCCATGAAAGCAAAACAGTCTTGGTAGACAGCGGTCAATCAGGACGTACCTGGTGTTGCTTGAGCAGATCAGAAACTCCTCTTCCAAATCCGCGCCACACTGCATTGTCTGTGCGCACTGCCTCTGCCACCGGTGTCCTCCAAGTGAAAGCCCTGCCTCCAACAGCACATAACTGCCACCAACTGACTCTTAGCCACATCCCTCGTGCTGTGGGTTCTGATCTGTGACCTGATTGGTGATACATACAGAAATGAGCCAATCAGATTGGGTAGCCAATCAGAACTTCCTCATTGGTCAGGTTGCAGTCCTGTGACTCATGCCTGCTCTACAGTGATTTCAGGCTGACCAGGAGTGCAGCTGGGGTCCTGTGAAAGCAGGGTTAAAGTAGAAGTTTTCCTTGTTCTCTGCCTTTTGTGCAGAGACATCCCATCCGGGCTGCATCTCCCCTCACTTCTTCCATTCCAGGGTCTCCTTTCACTATGAGAACAGACTCGGTTTCTGGAGGTCGGATTGCGGTTCAGTCTCTGTTTCTAGTTCATCCTGAGTTAAAGGGTCATCGGTCAATATCTGTACACTATTGACTTGTAATCACACCTAAATGCACCATCAACGGATTCTGGGGAACTCCTGTCTTCAAAGAACTAATACTCGGAAACAAAAAGGCAGGCTCTCTTAAAATCCAACATCCATGCTGAGCAATGATGGCACAGACCTTGAATCCCAGCTCCTAGGAGGCAGAGAAAGTCGCCTGGTCTAGAGAGCCAGTGTCAGGACAGGCTCCATAACACAGAGAAAACCTGCCTTGAAAAACCAAATAATAGGGCTGGAGAGATGGCTCAGCGGTTAAGAGCATTGCATGCTCTTCCAAAGGACCTGAGTTCGATTCCCAGCAACCACATGGTGGCTCACAACCATCTGTAATGTCCTCTTCTAGCCTGCAGGCATATATGCAAACAGAATATTGTATCCATAATAAATAAATATTAAAAAAAGAAAGAAAAACCAAATAATAATAATAATAATAATAACAATCCAAAATCCACATATTGAGCAAGTGCTGACCTGTCACTAAAAGGCCTCTCTCTTCTTTAACGCCAGTGCTGAGGGCTATGTTAAATCCTTTACTTTGTAAACTCAAAAGTTACATCATTAACTCCTCATGGCTTATCATTCCTGTTTCTGCCTCAGTAGCCTAAAATTAAAACAATACAAAACATGACCAAAACCATTATTTTCTTCACCAATTTTTTTCTTTTATTTATTTATTTATTAAAGATTTCTGCCTCCTACCAGCCACCGCCTCCCATTTCCCTCCCCCGATCAAGTCCTTCTCCCTCATCAGCCCAAAGAGCAATCAGGGTTCCCTGCCCTGTGGGAAGTCCAAGGACCACCCACCTCCATCCAGGTCTAGTAAGGTGAGCATCCAAACTGCCTAGGCTTTCTTCACTGATTTTTAATATTCCTTGTACTACATTGTGGTAGGTCATTTTAATCCATTAATTTGTATTTCTCAGTTGGAGCAACCTCCAAAAATTATTCCATTTGTGTTTTTTCCTTTACTTTGGGAAAACATTTTCAATCACTTGGTGAACTAGTCCTCAAATTCCCAGATGCAGTTTTTACATTTCCTCAATATTGCTGCCCAACCAGGAACTAGTTTTTTTTAGGTCTATTGAGAACTTCACATATGAAGACTGCATCTAAATATCTTCCACCAAGCCCATTTCCCTTTGTGCCTCAGTTTCCCTCATGTACCTCTCCTCAAATTATGATCTCTCTACTGAGCAACAAGCATGTGTTGTGTGGTTTGTGCACATACTTACACACATGTGTTTCTAACCTACTGAGTCCAATCAGCCTTGATCATTTGTCCCTGTGTCCAGATTGGACCAATGGGGACTGAACAGCCTATGTGGGATCTTGTCCCTGTAGGAGAAGCATTCCCACTTTCATAGGCAATGACAACCGGTAGTTCTTCTAGTGGTGTTCCGTGTGGGATTGCCCTGTCCACATCTGCACGTGAACCGCTGTTGTCAGGTGTCTCTTGTATATGTAAGCACATTATTGAGAGGCAGGGTTTACATGCCCCATAAAAGACACAACTGCAGATCCTTCAGTCAGGATTAGCATGGCATAGTCACTTCTCTGCATTTTGACAGGTTGAGTCTCATATTAAAAAGGAAGCTGCTTTGCTGAGGGCCATTTGCTGTACTTCTCTGTGGGTACAAGATCATGCATTGGTTTTTAAAAATGGAAGCACTCCCTTTCTCTTCTACTACTCTCTGGTTCCTGACGTCTTCTGTGGAGGAGCAAAAAATGTGGGTCTGAAGGTCAGAGAATTTCAGTTTGCTCAAAGTTGTTGACAGCTCCTATGGTTACACACCCGGCCTAGGGTGTGGTTACTTGGTGTTTTGGACACTAAGAAGGCCCACAGAAGTAGATCCTCTCCACCCTGACCAATGGTCAAAGAGTTGGAACTTACTTCAGTTCAAGGTTATTGTTTGTTTCTACCTCAAACAAAGGTCCCACCTTGATTCAGAGAAGAGAGTTTTGTGCTCTCAAAGGTTATTGTCAACAGGTGTGGCTAATATTCAGCGCTCGTCTTTTAGGTATAGGGAAGTAGATTTCTTCCCAACTCTAACAAAAGTCTAAGGATCCAACTAAGTTCCTGCTTCATTAGGGAGATAACAATGGATTCCACCCAGGGAGTGGTTTGCCTACAGAATGTTTTGGTCTAGGGTGTGAGCTTTACTTGTCTTGTTCTGGCAACAGAATTTAGGCCACAATACTTCAACCACTCTGTTAATTTTTTTGTATCATGTTAATGAATTTTTTTATCTTATTCCTACCTCTTGTGGTCTGGGTATTTTAAGTAAATGAAAATTAAATGTGGGCAATTTCATATTCATTGGAACTCCCTCCCAGTACCTTCCTGTGTCTGTTTTATTTTCACCCATGTCTTCATTCTCTTTACTTATTTTTCTCATCCTCAGCCCCCCCCCCCCACCCTGGTAAGTGGTATACTTGTCAAAGCTGGTCTCCAACAGCCTTCAGCCAAGGTTATTTGTCTAGGTTTGCAGTACCAGACTTAAATGCCTTAGCCAGGTGTTTGTTTCCCCGAGGTAAAAGTGCCACTCTTGCACAGTGGCAGCGATCTTGATTTTATGGCATTATATTTTAGGTTCCAATTGGGAAGTTCATGATATTGAAGAGCATTCTCATAGTTCTTGAAGAAATGGAAGGTAATTAACATATATGCATGCTGACATAAATGTGCCTCTCAGGAAAGTTTAATGTGTCCTGGATCTTTGAAAGAAAAATAATAATGCAAATAAACACAGCCTAAAGTGATTTGATGATTATTAAATTCTCAAAAATGATACACTTCAATGCCAGGTAGGAAAAGCTGTGTTTGCAAGGCATTGAGAAAGAAGACAAGGAAAGAAAGCCTCAACAGATATCACCATCTGAGTCACAGCTGAAGGAGAGCTGTGCTGGAGAACTGTCCATCTGTGTAGTTTCATATCACTCATATCACAATAGGCATACACATTGAATATGTGCTAAGTACATGTCCAAAACCTTCTACTAAGCAAATAAATAAAAAAATACCACACTGACTATATTGATAAGGTATCTGTATAGTATATTTTCTTATGAATTTGAAGACTTCTGATACATGCGAAGGCTTTTCAACATTAATCACATTCATAGGGTTTCTTTCCTGTATCTGTTCCTTTATAATTTTGACGATTACTATGAATTGCAAGGGCGTTACCACACTGATTTCATTCATAGGGTTTCTCTCTGCTATGTGTTCTTTTATGCCTTAAAAGACCACTGTGATATGTAAAGGCCTTATCACATTGATTACATTTGTAAGGTTTCTCTCCAGTATGTGTTCTTGTATGTATTTGAAGACCTCAGAGAGATGTAAAAGCTTTAGCACACTGATGACATTTGTAGAACTTCTCTCAGTATGTGCTCTTTTATATATTCGCAGTTGACTGTGATATGCAATAGATTCATCATCTTGAATACTTTTATAGGTCTTCGCTTCCATGTGAATTCTCTCATGCCATTCAAGAGGACTGTAATGTGTAAAGGAATAAACATATTAACTACATTCAGAAGGTTACTTGGCACAAGTAAAAGTTTTACCACATTCATTACACTGGTAAATCTTTACATTGGCATAAATTAATTTTACAGTTTGGTCTAATTTTATTATGTATACAATGTTCCTCCTGCCTGTATACTTCAGTGCCGGAAAAGTGTACCAGGCCTCTTTACAGTTTGCTGTGAGCCACCATGTGGTTTCTGGGATTTGAACTCAGGACCTCAGGGAGAACACCCAGTGCTCTTAGCTTTAAAACTTTTAAAAGAACTCATAAGTTAAGGTTTTATCAATTTGTTTAAACTCATGTTTTAACTTTTATTAAGGGTTGTTTTGCATCTTTGAAGAGGTCTTTTGTGGTAAGAGCTTGTATTACATGGTTCACATTCAGAGCTTCTGTTTTCTATATGAGATTTTTCACATATGTGAAGAGCACTGGAAAGACTCAGAGCACTAACACACTTAATATAGTCAGATATTTTCCAAGAGTGTCAGTCACACTACATTTACAAAGTGAACCATGACAAACAGAAGTGTTTACAAATCCCTAGTACTCGTAAGGCTTTTCTAGTGTGAGATTGATGTATTCCCAATGAAGCTGGAAAATCAATTACTCATAACCTTGAATCACAATCATCAAGTCTAGTCTAAGGAGAGACTATTACCTATCTTCTAATTTTTCTGAGAGAGACAGTATAAATTCTTTCCATATGCCAATGCTCATATGGTTTCTATCCAGACTGACATATGATTTATCTATTAAAGGAAGAATAACAAATAAAAGGTTTCCACATTGCATTTACACAGTATGACTCTCTGCTCCTCATAGACACGTGGTACAGGGATTACAGTTTCTCTACAAATACTGTCCCTGGACTCTATCGACCCAGCTCAATAAACTGAGCAAACCCATCACCAGTATAGAAGTCACACTGGCTTTCCTATGGACTGCTTGCTTAGTAGAAGGTTTTGGACGTATGCTCTTAACCTGTGCAAAGTGTACACCTATTGTAATATGAGTGTTATGAAAGTACACAGACTGGCAGTTCTACAGCACAGCTCTCACTCTGCTGTGATTCAAATGGTGATATCTGTTGAGGCACTGCTTCCTTGTTTTCTTTCCTAATGCTTTGCAAACACAACCTTCCTACCTAACATTGAAGTACATGGTTTTTGGGAAATTTAATAATCATCAATACAATTTAAGTTGTGTTTTTTATATTGTTGCTTCCCTTTAAAACTTCCAAGTCACATTAAAATTTTTTCAAATGCATATTTATATAATCTTGCATATATAAATTACCTTCCATGTCTTCTCGAACTTTGAGAATACTCTTCAATATAATGACTTTCCCAATTATAGCCTAAAAATAATACCAGAAAGTATATATTATTGGAAATTGTGCAAAATTTAAGTTATTATCTTTGATAAACCTTAGCACCATATATGATTTATTCACCACACTCTTCCTCTTTATCAATCAAAATTACAGATGACCACCAATAACCAGGAAACACTAGTCCCCTCATTTTAAAACATGAAGTAATGTTGACCATCTTACCAATAGCAGTGAGGTTCCTGAAGGTCTCCAGCATCACATCATTATAGAGATTCTTCTGGGAAGGGTCCAGCAAAGCCCACTCTTCCGGGGTGAAGTTCACATGCACATCATCACAGGTCACTGCATTCTTATATATCCCATACATGTGGAAAACAAAAGGTGTGATACCAACAACATTGTAAATGTATGTCTTTGACAGTACAGTCACCTAATTCTGGTGCTTCTTACACTTGTTTTATGACAGGGACATCATAATGCTATCACCGCATCACTACAGAAGGAAGCTGAATAGGAGGTTCACCCCTGTTATTTCTGCAAAGTTCGAATGAGATACGCCTTGCAAGAGAAAGGCAGAACTAGGTAAATATCAGAGAATTTGTATGTCCTATTACTAATAAAAACTAACAACAAAAAAACAATACGCATGCTGGGTGCATTGACTCATGCGTTTAATTCCAGCACTTAGAAGGCAGAGGCAGATGTAGCTATCTTTTTATTTGCTAGAATAATTTTTCTCAGGGGAGACAAGGTCTAAATATGTATTTTTGGCAAACACAGATGCCTGTAACAGTACTGAAAGGCAATCACAGACTAAGAATCCATGACTTCAAATTTTGCATCTTTTTTTGGTATACAGAAACGATAAAACCACAAAGATTGAACCTAATTTTCAGTGTATGTTGTAATAAACCCTGCCACACTTATAACCGAGTTACAGCAGATTGAGTGTGAAGTTGCTTACTTGAGATCAGAGTCTTTTTCTCTTCCTAGCATAGAGTGAAGGCTTAGCTGGATGGAGTCCGTCCTAGGCATCCAGTGCTGAGCAAGAGCCTCCTCTTCAGTGGCGCTGAACACCTTGACATTTCCTACCTCAAGCTCACCATATGACTTGCCCTCTGCAACTGTCTAGTGCTAAATTCCTCTGCAAAACACTGTGATAGTGGTACAGCCTCAATTAATGTTTCCTCAGATGTGTAGTGATATTTTTTGTTTTAACATAGAAAACTTGCCAGGTGTTCAGAGTGCAGATCTAAGACACATGTGGTCAGTCACTGGCGGCAGATACTTTACTCTCAGGATGCAGAAGAGAGATAGATCTCTGTTAATTCAGTGCCACCCTGATCCTGCCTTAAAGAAAAGGAGAGCTCACAAAAGGGGGATTCTAATCCCTGGGATCACAGGCCTTTAATCCCAGCACTAGGGAAGTGAAGACAGCAGCGATATGACTGCATAAAGAGATGAACATACGGAGGGAGGAGACAAGAACTGGATGCAGTCTGAGGCAGTAAGTCTGTGGATGCAGTCTGTGGACAGGATCGCCTTTCCCGTCTGAGCATTGATAGAGGTAAAAATCTCTCTAGTGGCTGGCTCTTCTGCTTCTCTGATCCTTCAGTTTCGCCCCCTAATAGCTGTCTCTGAATTTTTATTATTAAGATCAATTAGAATTCATGCTACAGTGATGACTGTAGGCCCTGGTATGCTGGCAATTCAAGCTAAGAAGGACACAAAGACAATAACATAAGACATGGTTTAAAAAAAATGAATGTGCTCACCACATTAAGAATTTAAAGAGCAAAACCACAAACATTGATGATAGTAACAACTGGCAAACATGGAGGTGAAAAGAACTGAAGAGAGGCAAGCCTCTTCTCAAGAACAGAATATTGGCAAGGCCATGGTGACACGTGTCTTTAATTCCAGGATGTGGAAGATAGAGGAAGGATAGTTTTTGTGAGTTCAAGGCCCATTTGGCCTAAGGAGCTCGTTTCAGGAGAGACTGCAAACAAAAAAGAGAAAAACCTGTCTTGAAACCCCCCCGCCCCCCAAAAAACCCAAAAAACAAAACAAAACAAAAAAACAGCAGAAAAGAATATTCTTTCCCATTGAATGTCTCTGAAAGAGCAAAAACTCAAGGATCTCGTCAAAGGGTCATGTGACTTCTTTGGCAGACAAAGTCTGAGAATAGCATGAACAAGTTCAACTTCTGGCAAAGCCATGGAGAATTTAACCCTTTTTTTTGGCAAGGGTGAGGGACAGTTTGCTGCATACTTCTGGGCATGATCCCAGGATCCTATGTACTACCTGCTTTTCCTGCTTCCCTTATACAAATTATTGTTGGCTGCCTAAAGTTTTATTTTCTTAGAGTATGGATGAAATGGCTTTCCATAGGGAAAGCTTTCCTCTAATGACTCCTCTGAGTGAGAACCAAGGGGATGTTGTTAAAAACATACAGTGATCCTGACTCAGCTCCTAAAGCCTTTGATGTTTCAAGTGTGATCATGAATGCAGGATTCTCGAGAATAGCAAGGTATCTTTTCATGGCATTTTGTGACTAGCTTGAAAAGTGTCACAGTAGTTCAAGATATTACAAATCTGAATAACTGCTTTGCAGAGAATGATTTTAGTCAACAGAGTCTAGGAAAAATACAAATAAATTTATGATATCAGGTGTTAATGGAAAGACACGAGGAGTTAAAAAAACAATCAGAACCATAGAAAGCCAGAGCATCCTCATTTCAAATAGCTGTGCCAATACTATAGGAAGCTGAGAGGAAGGGGACACGAGAACAAGGGCTAAGCAATGCCAACTATGAAGAATAAGCTTTGAAGTTATTCTGCTCACAGGATGCTGGAATAACGTGGTGCATTCCCCACAGGAGACAGAATAGCACAGAACGTAGAATGAATTGATTCAGCTTCTGCTCTGAGTTATTGTGAAAACTTAGATTTCACTAGAGGTGAACATTAACCACTACCTGCAAAATTCTCTTTCACTTTGCATGATGCTAGAACCACCAATGCTGCCAACTGGGTACACTGTACTAACTGAAGGTGAGCCTCGTTAGAAAACTCTGTGGTTGTTTGCTGGACTCTTTATGATTTAATAGTAAAACTGTGAATCAAATAGGTAATGCCTACCAGTGGGAAACTTGGCATACAGAAGGAGGATAAGATAAGGGAACAAGCTGGAAATTGTGGTAAGCATTATTTGAAATTTGAGGAAACAAATTTTATTGTTAAACTCTTCAGGTAACCTTTTGAAATTGTATAAATAAAATTGGCTCAGGCTATCTGGGGCCACTTGTTTGAAACAGGTGTCAGTTTCATCATGGTGGAAACTTCACACACTGTGAACTTAACATCAGACCTGTGAGGAATTAGGAGTTGGTCTCCAAACAGGTGGTGCACCAACATGCCTGATAGGAAGGTAATCTACTGGACAGATTTACTGGTAAAAACTGCTTCCACGCGACTAACCGGCAGATCCTCTGGGAGTGAGTCCAGGTGAGGAAGAAAAAAAAAATGGAAGGGATAAAAAAAAGTAAGTGAAGATCCATCATTTTCCAGAGAAACGACAATATAATTAGAGTATAATAAAATCACACAATACAAAAGACACAAATCATAAAAGAAGACACAAAGAGAGACCTGCTAATTTCCCATGGTCCCTTACACTAGAACTACAAGATTCTAACAAAATAAATATCAAAGAAATCTCCCTGGGCCCTGCAGTTCTGTCCTTTTCCCATAACACAAAGTGGGTTGGAGAAGGAGAACTTTTCCCATTAAAACTAAATAGATTTTCTGGATGCCTTTAGGTGTTCCTCAATGGAAGAAAATATTTCTCACTGCTAGTCTCCTTCCTTTATGATAAGGAAAAGGATGTCTGTTAGGATCACTTAGAAACTATTTTGCTTCCTATAAGTGATGATCAGATGTTTGCATCAGAGTAAAAAAAAGAAAACCAAAACAAAGGCAAGAAAACAGAATTTTAAATAGACATTGTATGGCTTGTATTACACAACCAAAACAACTTGTTCTGCATGGTTGACATACCAGAAAAGATGGTGTTAGATCTCCCCGATCTGGAGAAACAGGAAGCTATGAGCCTGCAGACTGGGATGCTGGTCTCCATATTCAGGTCAAGAACAGCTGCTAAGTGGCATGTGAAGCCTACATAGTACTTTTTATCCAATACACTAAAAGTCTTTCACTCATTAACAAAAGCAGAAACTTAAATAAATGAAAAAGTAAAGAAATGCTGCCTGGGAACCTGGTGCATCAGGATTGAGATTTTGGGTATGTGACCAGGTAGACTGCCTGCAGACTTTCCTCATTATCAGTTACCCAAGATGCAAAACTCAGGGTTTTCCTAGGACTGCAACAGATCAACACCTGCAACTTCCTCTTCCCTGTCTGTGGCTCCATGGAATCCACAGCACATCCCCACCTGCCCGTCCCTCCTTGCCTCATTTCTGTGTCCCCACCTCAACTGATTGAGACACCTCCGGCCCCTGGCTCAATGACTTGCCACAACTGCCAGCAAACCAGGCAGGCTCCCTGCAGATCTACCACATTAGCTGTTACCCCAGACCCAATTTTCACAGTTGCCCCTAACACTGGTCTAGAATGCCAGAGACAGTTTCCCCTCCTCCTCCCCACTCTCCAGGCCTCTTGTAAATACCTAGGATAATCTTCCCCTTTCTCCAGCTTCCAACACCAGCAAGGGTTCTCCGTTGAACACAACAGCCAAGGCCAGTAAAAGGCACTACTCACGTGCTACATACTCTGAAATTCCTGACAACGCACAGAAACCAAGGGAAAACCCTCCCATCCAAGAAGGACTAATCCGGAAATCAGTACCTCGATTTAATCATCTCAAACTTACATTCCTAGACACCAGCCTAGGAACATAATCCATAACAGCAAGGGGAGGATGTCACCTGCAGAGCTCAGGTGTGCTATCTTGGCTGCTCATTATATCCCGACAGGGCTGAAGTATAAGAACATTAAGACCAACTATATCAAGATGACAGAGTTCTTTTAAAAGACCCCAGTGGTGGGCAGTCTTTCAGGCTAAGGAGACCCTCCCAAGGAACAGCGAGATCACTCTTCGGATGCAAACAGCAAGAGGCTTTATTCAGTACACAGGTCCCTGGGGCGACTTAGTCTCTCGAAAGACAAAGCGCGCCTGCAGACTGGGGGAAGGTCTTTTTATAGGAAAGAGGGCAGCAGAAGCAGATTACAGAAGCAAATGCATCGTTAATGGTCAGTTGGAATGGGGCAAGGGGCACAGGTGGTTTTTCCTCTCCCAGCACAGATGTATGGGAACAGATATCCTGTTAA